GGGGGACAGGACCCCTGCCATCAGCGAAGCATCTTCTGAGGAAACCAAGCAAGCGGTCTCCCCCATGCCCAGGGGTGTTGTCCCCCACTCCAGGCCCACGTCCCCCTCCACACCTGTGCCCCCACCACATCCTTCCACATCCCTCTGGATCCTCCAACATCCCTCTGCTTCTCTCTAGGAGCTGCACCCCATGGAATGGAAAGGTTCTGTGCAGGGTTGGTGGTCAAGGAGGGGAAAACCCCTTAAATTGGGTTAATTTATCAGAAATAGGGGAAGTGGGGTAGTGTCCCATCAGTGCTGCCCCCTGCCCCAGCTGGCTCTGGTGAGGGGACAGTGGGACCCCTTGAGGAGGCATCAAGGCTGGGACAGTGGTGCCGGAGGTGCTGTTGGGACGGGTTACTGCTTGCGGAAGATGAGACTCTTGTTGTTGGCAGGCATGTCCACCTGGAAGCACAGAGCTGGGGGTCAGGGGGTTCCCACCGGTGTGGGGACCACCCCTCCCCTGACCTCCTCACCTACCATCCTCTCCAGGTGCAGCCCATTGGCTTCAGCCAGCTGCTGCAGCAGCGCCGTGTCCCGCAGGCCCCAGGCCGGATTGCTGCCGGGGAGGGAGGTGTGGGGGAGACAGGTGGACATCACGCCCCGAAGCATCCCCATCTTCTGGGAATGGGGGGCTGCCCCTGGCTGCTGCTTATCTTGAAAGACCACGCTGGGAGGGAGCTTCCTGCAGCTCCAGGCAGCATGGGCCTCAGCAGCCTGGACACCACCCCCACCGCCACCTCCTACCTCTGCCTCAGGCTGCGGTCAAAGTCCACGTTGCTCTGGGGGCTGATCTGGCCATCAATGGCGTAAGGCTAGCGGGACACAGAGCAGAGCTGCAGGCATGAGCCTCTGAGCCCCCCCAGGTCCCCCCAGCCCATGGGCTCCTGACTCCACCACACACAGAAGGCAAGCAGGAAGAGCAGCCCACGAAGGACTGTGGGTCCCATCACCCACCTCGGATCCTGTCACTTACCACAGGTGCCACCACCCTCCACAGGACCCCCAGACCCTGCCTCACATAAGGTGAGGGAGGACAGGATCTCTCCTGTCCAAAACAGCCCCACCCAAGGCTCAGCATGTGCCCTGAAAGGTAGAGGCAGTCCTGCCCCAAACCCAAGCCCCCTTCTTTCCCAGCCCCTGCCCCAAGCCGTGCCTGGAGCTGCCCCCCCAC